GCTATTTCCAACTTGTGGGCACATAAGCACAACAGCAATAATAGATATGTGTGTGTGTGTGTGTGTGTGTGTGTGTGTGTGTGTGTGTGTGTGTGTTTAAGTGTCATGGAGGCAGAGCCAACTCAGCTGTGACCTTCCAGCACTTTTTCAGAGGCTGCAAATTGCACCGAAGTCGATCTTTCTCCCACAGTGCAGCCTGTGGATTTGCACCATTCCCTTTGGGTTGAGAGTGCAACTCCTCTCAAGGAGGCCATCCGAGTTCCCGTTCTCTTGGCAGTTCTGGAGCTATGGTGACCTAGTGGCAAGGTGGGAAGCTGCCAACTCAAAGATGCCAGGTGCTCAGCAGAGAAGGATGGAACTCTGTCTGTGCTATTCTCTAAATCTACTGGAGTGGGTTCCTATTGGAAAGCACAAAACTGTTCTGAGTGGGTCTGCATGTCTTTTCAAATATAAATTCTATTTAGAAGGAAACTTTCTCCAAGGGAAATTTACGTTTGAAAGGACTAGAGCTCATGCTTTCCCACTTAGCCCCCCCTCCCCCCCCTCCCTACTCTAAATAAGCACCTAACCTTTAACACAATCCTTTTATTCCTCTTTTATCTTCTCCACACCTTAAGCATCTCCCATTCATATGCTTATATAGCCTTGCCCTCTGCCTGGGTGTAACCTATAGACTCTGACCCTTTATTAATCATCTTGTTTGTCTGGCTTTTTTCTTCTTGCAGCTTTACTTTTCTTGGAGTCTTTTCAGTTACTAGAGGTAACAGCAACCCAAGTAACCATCTAAGAATCAAAAGCTTCTCATGCCCTTAAAAAAAATTAATAGAAGTTTTATTTAAGCAATAATACAATCATCATTGTCAAACTTAATATGAAATGTTAACTATTCCATCCAGTTTTCTTTTCCGGAAGTTATTTTTTCCTATCTCTGTCTGTTTTTAAACTATAATACCAGAAGAAAAGGAACCCAATGTCAAACACACCTCCCATGAGTGAGGTGTTAGGAGTAGGCTGACATTGTGATAGATATTTGAATGAGTCAAGGCAGGATAGGATCTTTGTGGTTGGGGTTAAACAGGTACTCATGTTTAAGCTTGGATCTTATGGCCAGCCACTTAGTTTGAGCCTGCCAGTCTCTAAAGATATGTTGTATTTGACTAGGTCGAGAGTGGTAGGTAGGGTACCCAGGTGCAATGGCTTTTATTGTGTTAAGGTCTTCGCACAGATTGTAAAGCTAGTGTACTCAAGGAAGGGACCATAGAGCAAGAAAGAAAGCTTAAAGCAGCTTTATTAAGGGAGCTCCTGGGCGAGGTTCCTTGGTCTCCAAGTGGAGAACAAGGAAGTCACACTTAGAGCCTTTTGGGGAGAGTTTTTATAGGAGGGTCTGTATTCCATTGTGGTTTATTGTTCAGGTGGTTGAGGCTGTTCACTCCTTTTGTTGACGTTTCATAGTCTTTGACTTCTTTATTCTCTCCCTTGGCCTTGGTCTGGGCCTAACACTTTGGAAATGACATCTTGACTACCTGTTTTCATATCTTTTTGGTCCTCTTATAAAATCCTATGTCTCCATGAATCTGGATCTGGAAACATTGCAACAAATCCTACCTCTGATAACAAATGGAAAAGGAAATAGTATCGCCTGACATCCTCTAACTTCCCGGAGCATTGTTGTTAGGTGCCATCAAGTTGGTATGACTCATAGTGATCCTGTGAACAACAGATATGAATCCCCTCTTCTCATCCTGTCCATCCCTGACACACTTGGGCCCCTTGGCTGCAGTCACTATCAGTCCATCTTCGTGATGGTCTTCCTCTCCTTTGCTAACCTTTCCAAGCATGATGCTCCTTTCTAAGGAAGATCCGAGCAACATGCCCTGAGTATGTGAGATGAAGCTTCACCACTATCTTTGTCTCAGAAGAGCACTCTGGTTTCACCTCTTCCAAGATTTATCTGTTCGTTGTTTTGGTAGCCCGTGGAATATTCAGTATTCTCCAACACCACAACTTCATGGAGTTACTTTATGGAGGAATTCACAGTTCAAAGCTGATTATTCTTGTTTCTGTCCCCTCCCCCCACAATCTTTTTTATCAGTGTTAACATCACCATCTCTCCCACAACACACACATGCTGCTGCTGTGTTGAGTTTGGTAGTTTCTGGTGATAACCACATGTTGATGATGTTGTGTGCCCTCAAGTCAGAACTGACTATGGCTGACCTTCCAGCTGGTTTTCAGAGGCTGTAAATAAATTGCACAGGAGGATATTTGCCCATTCTTCTCTCATGGATAACTACATCACTTAAGTGCCCCCAAAGCATTCATTCGAGCAGCAAGTTTAGGCCCTAGGCATTTGGCTCCTTGACAAGTGTCTGAAGGCACCTACTCTGCCTGTGAGCCTCCTTCCCGGCCACTTTGCTTTCTTTCTCTGTAAGCCCACAACTCTGTCTCAAGGCACATTCCTGGTTCTGCTGTCTCTATTGCCACCATTTTCCTGCTCTCCCTGCCTTCTGGGTCAGAGAGGGTTTTAGTACAGGGATCTTGGGTCTACTACATGTGTTCACACTTCTGTCTCCTTTCTTGATGGCAGTGAAATCTTTCTGCCTCTGGGTTAGCCGATCTGGGCTGTTAAAATGGAACCATCCCCATGTTTGTGTTTTATGCATCTTAGTGTCATGATCTAACAATAGCAGTATTCCTAAGGATTATGTGTAAAGGCTTTTGATTGTGTGTATCATAACAAATTATCACTTACATTGAGGAGAATGGGAATCCCAGAACACTTAACTGTGCTCACACTAAACCTATACTAAGAACAAGAACAGACAAGGGAATGCTTTGCATGGTTTAAAAATCAGGAATGTTGTGTATCAGGGCTTTATCCTTTCTCTGTTTGGTCTGTATATAGAAGAAATCATTCAAGAAACTAGGCTATATAAAGAAAGACCTTTATAATAGAGCATGGCTTTTTAGCAAGGAGCCCTTTTGCTGAAAATCTTAGCAAAGAAGAGGAAATTGTAGCACTGATGATAGAGAGGCAAAAAACATTTATTCCCTCTATTTTTGCCACCTGTATATTTTCGTTGATGAGGTTAAGGCTTCTGTTCAAAATTTTCTCTCACTTTATAATTGAGGTTTTTTTTTTAAGTTAACTACTTTGCAAAAATCTTTAATTTTAGCAAAGTCAAAATTAACATTTTTTTCCTTACACATGTATTTAGATATTTTAACTAAAAAGTTGTTGCTAAATCCCATTTTCTCCAATGATATCTTCTAGAAGTTATATGTTGCTGTTGTTTTTTATTGCGTCGAGTTGAGCATGACTCATAGTGACGCTATGAGCAAAATACCTGAAGCCTTTTTAGATAACTGTTGTTGTTTCTCAAAGTTCATAGCTTCCAGAGGCATGTGTAGTTGTGTATTTTATATACTGACCTGTCTTTGATTGGGTTGGGTCCCGCCCCAGATATGTGCCAACCTGACTAAATTTTGCACACGATTTGAATCCAGCAGTTGCTCCACGGGAGAAGTATGGGCAGTCTCCTCTCTTGTGATTGTTGTTGTTGGTAGGTGCTGGCGAGTCGAGTAAGACTCACAGCAACTCAATGAAAAGCAGATTTGAACCCTTTTCTAGGCTGTGCCATTCTCACACTTCCAGACACACAAGAGCCCATTGAGGCAGTCACCATGTCAATGCACATGGTTGAGGGTCTTCCTCTTCTTTGCCAACCCTCCACCCTTCCCAGCATCATGTCCCTCTCCAAAGAATAGCCCCTCCTAGCAACATGCCCAAAGTATGTGAGACGAAGCCTCATCCATCATTCTTGCCTCCAAAGAAAACTCCAACTGCACTCTTTCAAAGGCATATTTGTTTGTTCTTTTGGCCGTTCATGGGATGTTCAGTGCTCTTCTCCAGCACCACAGCTCAAAGGTGTTATTTCTTCTTCCATCACAACAAGGCTGTCAAGTAATGATATAATCTGACAATTGTAATGATATAATAATCTTCCATAAAGTGCCCTGATGGCATTGCTATTGTGTACGTTGTGTCAGAACCAACCCATAGCTGACCCTCTAGTGGATATTCAGAGGCAATTAACTACATAAAAGGAAATTGCCTGTCTTTCTCCTGCGGAGCCGCTGATGGAGTTGAACTGCTTGTTTTAGAGGGGATTGCAGTGGAGTTACCACTAGGCCACTAGCATTATTTGGGTACGGGGAACAATCTCTGGAGAAAAACATATCATGGTTGGTAAAGTAGAGGATAAGCAAAAGAGGAAGCCCTTCGATGAGATAGGTGTACACAGTGGCTACAGCAAAGAACGTGAGCACAGGAGAGGTTGTGAAGATGGTGCGTGACCAAGCCAGGCACTGAGAGAACCAGCTGAACAACAGCATAAACTGTGAGGGAATAGATTTGTTAAAAGCCACACACTGGGTTTCTGGCAGCACTGAAAAACTAAGCCAAGGTCTGTGGTCTATTTTAGCTCATTTTTATCAAAGCCATAAGCTCCGTGTCTATGTTCATGTTTTAATAGGTAAATGTCTCTTTGTTTCTGCACCTTTTATTGTAAAGACTGTCCTTTTCCAATTAATTGCCTTTAATCCTTTGTCAAAGATTCCTTTATTCCTGACCAACATGGGAGTTTGGGTGCCAACTCCTATATACTTGGAAATCTGCATTTTTACGGTTGACTGTTAAATAACTCAGCCTTGAACTGTGCAAGGCCTCTCTTTATGTGAGAGTTTTTGTTTTTCTATAACTATTGGGGTGAGTTCCAGTGTTGTGTGTGTTGCTTAAAAGTCTCTATGATCAGCAAAAATATCACTAAAGAAAGGGTATATACCTTCTCACTGGAGACTCACATAAATCTTTTTTGCTTATACTTCCATTGAAACTTCCATCTAGATAAATTATGATTCAACATATTTGACAGTCTAGCAGGGCAGTTACAAATATGAGAAGCTAACTTGCATTTTTATTGTATTTCTGTTTGTTTCAGGTTTATGCTGCTGATTGTAGTGACAGTGTTCTTTTAGAGCTACGAAAATATTTGCCAAGATATTACGGCGTCTGGTCACCACCCACTGCACCAAATGGTAATCTTTCCTTAGATACTTGTTTTTGACCTTCGTTCATAAGAGTGATTATATAAGTTGTTGTTATGTGCTGTCAAGTCATCTGCAACTTAAAGCAATCCTATGTACACCAGTCCTAAACCTTGTTCTGTCCTGTGCCAACTTCATTATCTCTGACACACCTACCCCCAGTACCCCAGTCACTGAATTAATTCTTCTCATTGAGGGTCTTCCTCTCTTGTGCTGTCTCTCCACCTTCCCTAGTTTGATGTTCCTTTCCAAGGACTGGTCCCTCCTTGCAACATGTTCGAAGTATGTCAGACAAAGCTTCAGAACCCTTGCCTCCAAGGAATAGCCTGGTTTCACCTTCTCTAGGATGAACCTATTTGTTCTTCTAGCATAACACAGTATATTCATTTTTTTTTTTGCCAGCAACACAGCTCAAATATACCAGTTCTCCTATCATCTCTGGTCATTGTCTAGCTTTCTGATACATAACAAGTAATTGCGAAGACTATGGCCTGAATCAGGCACAACTTAGTCTCCAAACATTATTCCTCTTCAGTGCTCTGGAGAGGTCCCTGTCAGCAGATTTTCCAATGAAATTTGTATTTTAATTTCCTGGCTGGTGGTACCAAGAGTGTTGATTATGGAACCAAGCAAATTGAAGCTGTTAACAATTTTATGAGACTTTATGTAAATTCAGTCCTAGCATCATAAAAAAATACCATATATGGGATATTATCTCTCTCTAAATCTTCTCTATTTGATTCAATAAAACTTTTGCTTTTCATAATAATTTTCTTAGATGTACAAGTCAATGGTCAATATGTTGTAGTTGATTGAAATAACAGGTATTAGTAATTAATTTACAAATGTTTTCTTTCTAGACGTATGATACGGTATCTTTTCCCACTTTGAGTAGGGGGGAAAATCTATAGAAAAATTTTTTCTGTATGTCTTCCTTTCCTTTTGACTCCCTCTTCTATGTTTAAATTGTAGTCTTTGGAAAATCACTTAAGTTTAATTGCTAGGGGCAAAATGATATATGTAAAGACACAATCATTCTTTCTCTTTGACTTGTGAACACTTAAAATAGTATATGTCACCTGAAGGTCTTTGTCAGGACAGACAGATTTTAATTAAACAACCAGGTTTATTTACTATGTAACCTCTCAAATTTGAAGAGCTTAAGAATGACTTACTGGCTTATTATGGATGTCTGGTTGTCCAGTTGGTAAGGAGTTGTGCTGCCAGCCCAAAAACACATGGCTTGAATTCAGCAGCTGCTCCACAGGAGAAGGATGGGCAATCTTCTGCCATGTAATTTATAGCCTCTGGAGGGTTGGGCTATGAGTAAATTCCAACTCAACAGTACAGTTGCTCCTTGGAGGCAAGGATTCTGGGGCTTCACCTGACATACTTTGGACATGTTGTAAGGAGAGACAGGTCTTTAGAGAGGGACATCATGCTGGGTAGAGTAGAGGGACAGCGCAGGAGGGGAAGACCCTCTATGAGGTGGATTGATTCAGTGACTGGGGTAATCGGGATGGGTGTGTCAGAGGCAATGAGATTGGCACAGGATAGAGCAGGGTTTAGGGCTGTTGTACATAGGGTCGCTATGAGTCGCAAACGACTTGACTGTACATAACAACAACAACAAACAGTACAGTAGCATCAACAACAACATAAGCCTATTAAAATGAAAAAAAGTCTTACTCAATTCCTAAACAGTCTGATTATGCAAGGCGTCAGCACGCTGTTCATGAAAAGCAGCATGCTTTTTTCAGCATAGTCTTTGAAATGTCAAGATCTTGGAGAATAAGACTCCAATTAAGAGCTTGCTCCTTTCTTTTCAGTCTTTTCTTGCTTCTGCTCCTTGACTATTTAGCCCAGGAAATTTTGATATCTTCCTGTGAATTTCCTTAGTTGTTTTTATGTGCCATTGAGTTGACGACAACTCACAGTGACCCTAAGAACAACAGCTTTGAACCTTGCTCTATCCTGAGCCATCTTTCTTGTCTCTGATGCCTTTTAGTTATGGTGTTAGGGAATAGTACTGAACAAACCATGAACTGCCAAGAGAATAATCAGGCCTTTCTCGGAGAGGGTAAAACCAGGTTGTTTTTGGAGGTAAGGATTTTCAAAATCTTACCTCACATGCTTTGACTATGTTGCCGGGAGGGACCAGTTTGTGGAGAAGGACATAATGCAGGATAGAAGATCAGCACAGGAGAGGAAGATTCTGGACGAGATGAATTGACACAGTGACTGGCAGTGGGGTCAGGTATTATGAGAAGCATGTATCATTATGATAGATGATGAAGAGATTGAGATTGTTAATAGCTTTAGTTTTCTAGGTTCTACAATCAGCACTCTTGACAATAACAGCCAGGAAATTAAAAGACGAATTTCATTGGGAAACTCTGCTGTAAGAGACCTCTTGTGAGTACTGAAGAGCAATGATGTCAGTCTGGAGACTAAGGTGCACCTGATACAGGCCAAGGTCTTTGCAATCATTTGCTGTGCATCAGAGAGCTGGACAATGACTAGGGATGATAGAAGGAGAATTGATGCCTTTGAGCTGTGTTGTTGGAGAAAAGGACAAACAGGTTCGTCCTGGAGAGGGTGAAGCCAGGCTATTCCGGGGAGGCAAGGTTTCTGAAGCTTTGTCTGACATACTTTGGACGTGTTGCAAGGAGCAACCAGTCCTTGGAGAGGGACGTCAGGCTTGGGAGAGTGGAGGCACAGCGCAAGAGAGGAAGACCCTCTTTGAGGTCGATTGATTCAGTGACTGGGGTAATGGCGGTAGGTGTGTTGGAGACAGTGAGATTGGCACAGGATAGAGCACGGTTTAGGGCTGTTGTACATAGGGTCACTATGAGTTGCAGGCGACTCAAGGACACATTACAACAACAACAACATGCTGCAAGTGACAATGGGGAAGCTATGAAACCTGACAAAGGATCCGCTACATTCACAGAAATGACCTGAAAATCAACCTTCTGCTGCAGAAGAACCTGGCTGATCCACAGAAGGGCTGCTGACGCAGTTTGTGTCTCCACTTGTTTTCTTTCTTGAATCTATATTCTCATATCTTTGTCTATAGTGAACTCAATCACATGTTATGTGAGAAAGCCTGCATATACGGAGATAAAAATAGTATAAAACTCAGTGCCATTAATTACATTTATGATGTTGTCCATTCACCCTCAGTATTTCCAAAGCCTCTTTGAAATCCCAGAGAGAAACTCTCTTTAGAAACTATGGTCCTGGGTATCGTTAACACACTATTGCCCCATCTCTCAACCCTTGACAACCTTCAATGTACTTACCTCTATGAATTTGACTGTTAGAGATTTCGTAACATTAAACCATACAATACTTTTCTGCTTGTGCCTGGCATATTTTACTTTAGTGTAATATTTTCATCCATAATGTTTCATGCATCAGTGCTTCAATCCTTTTTAGGGTAAATAACAATTTCCATTGTATGTGTATATCATGCTTCCTCTGTGCATTCATCTGTTTTGGGCACCTACTTCAATTTCCACATTGAGCATATGTAAATAATGCCTCTAAAAACTTTGTATTGGTGTCGTTTTGAGTCTCTGTTCTTTAGGGTATATACCTAGGAATGAAATTATTGAGTTGTATGATGTCCTTTTCTGTTTAACTCTGAAGAACAACCAAACATTTCCATAGCACCTGCTCCATTTTATATTCCCACTACCAGTAGATAAGGATTATAATTTTTCCACAGCTTCACCAATGTTTACTATTTTCCAGTTTACTAACAATAGTTAACCCTAGTGACTGTAAAGTTCTTAAAAAAAAAACAACAAAACAAACAAACCCAAAAACCAAATATAATGCTTAAGGCAAAGTTTTTAACTATTCTTTGGTTTTATGAAGACTTCAAATGGGTTATAATTAGAGTTTTAAAGATTACCGTGTAAAGATTACAGTTTGAAGGGTTCGCCTAGCCTCCATGACTCTAAGTCTGGATTCCATGAGAATTTGCAATATTTTGTTGTGTATTACCTTACTTTGACCAATATTCTTCCATAGAATACTTGATCAGAATGTTCTGTAATGGTAGCAGATATCATGGAGTTCAGATTTCATGACAAAGGTGACAGCTGTTCATGGAGATAATTAGCCACATACTCCATCTCCTCATTTCATTCCTAACTCTTCCTCCTCTGTTACTTCAGGCAGATAGAGACCAATTATTGTGCCACGTTTGTTGTTGTGTGCCATGGAGTTGGAACTGACTCATAGCTGACCCTCCAGTGGGTTTTCAGAGACTGTAGATCACATAGGAGGATATTGCCTTGTTCCCTACTCTGTTGGATTCGAACTGCTTACCATTTATAAAGTTGGCAGCACAACTTCTTACCTCTTGGCCACTGGAGTTTCCTTTGTACTCTATTGTTGTTGCTAGATGCTGTCAAGATGAGTGAGTATGCTTAATAGTGACCCTGTGAACGGTTGACCTGAATTCTGTCCTATCCTATGCCATCTTCATCATCTCTGCCACACTAGAGCCCATTGCTGAAGTCACTGTCAGTCCATCTCATTGGAGATCTTCCTCTCTGTCGCTGACCTTCCGTCTTTCAAAGCATGTTGTCCCTTCCCAAGGAATAGCCTCGCCTAGCAACATTTATGAATGATGAAGCTTTGCCATCCTTGCCTTCAAGGACCACTCTGGCTGCACTTTTTTTTAATATTTTTAAATTATTGTTATTAATTTTAATGAAAATTTACAGAGACTTTGGATTTCCATTCATTCGTTCATTTGTTGAACTTCTCTCCCTGCCCAACCTCCCTCCCCCCGCCCCAGTTTGCTCTTCTCTTTGAAAAGTGAAATTCGTTCATTGTTATACAGTCCCTCCCCTCAAGTCCACTCCACTATGCTGCCTTCATTTTGCAAAGTAAAAGAAAAATTCTTTCATTGTTATACAATCCCTACCCCCAAGTCTACTGCACTGTGCAGCCTTTGTTGTGGACTCCTTTCATCACAATAATACCTAATTTAAGAAGACATATTGTTCTTTTGAATGAAGAAAAAAATTTAAAAAAGATGTTAAAATACTTTATTAAGAAATCTTAATTATAGATGACACAATTTTATTCAAAAGAGGAATATATTTTGGAGCAACTTTTGAATTAGTTTCAATAACTTTTTAAATACTGATTTATTTACGTAGTTTGAATATATTGTTTTTCATAAAATACCCTTCCCATTTCCTTCACCTCTCCCACCCATTGATTTGTAGAACCCTATGATTAACATCCTGCCCATCCTTACCCCTCTGCTTCCACCCTCACCGCCACCTTGGGTCCTCACACTCATTCTACAATAATAGTTTAATACAGTATTTGTCCTTGTGGGACTGATTTAGTTCACTCAGTGTAATGTTATCCATTTCCTCCCAAGTTAGCTAATAGTTTACAAAGTTATTGCTCCTGTGTGTAGCATTGTATTCCATTGTATTGTATGAGTGAACCACAACTTTTCAATCCATTCTTTTGTGGCTGGACATCTGGGCTATTTCCATGTCCTTCCAATTGTGAATAATGCTGCTGTGAACATTGGTGTACAAGTCTCTGTTTGAGCCTCAGTTCTCATTTTCTTGGGGTATATTCCAAACAGTGGAATAGCTGTGTCATAGTTTCAAGAACTCTTAAATGTCTTTCTTTGTAGGTGCTTCGTACTTTTTTATTGTTGAATGTTACTTAATCCATTTCTGCAGGAGTTCCTTTGCCATATTTAGAATTGGAAATTTTTTTGTCTCTCTTTCAAGTTGGATTTAGAAAAAATGTAGAGTTATAAACGTTATTGTTTTAGTATTTTCTTTTCCTCTGGTTATTTTAGAGCTAAAATATTAACTAAGACTTTTCTTTAATAATAGATTTATACCTAAAACTGGAAGATGTGACCCATAAATTTAATAAACCCTGTATAATGGATGTGAAAATAGGGCGAAAAAGCTATGATCCTTTTGCTTCGTCAGAGAAGATTAAACAACAGATCAGCAAGTATCCACTGATGGAAGAGATTGGGTTCTTGGTGCTCGGCATGAGGGTAAGAGTAATTGTTAACTTACACATTTCTCTTTACTTGGTCTTCCCTTAAGTATTATATATTATAATTATCATATGTTGTTGTTATGGTTGTTATGTGCCGTCGAGTCGTTTGCGACTCATAGCGACCCTATGTTCAACAGACCTAAACCGTGCTCTATCCCGTGCCAATCGCACTGTCTCTGACACACCCATCCCGATTACCCCAGTCACTGAATCAATCCACCTCATAGAGGGCCTTCCCCTCCTGCGTTGTCCCTCCACCTTACCAAGCATGGTGGCCCTTTCCAAGGACCGGTCCCTCCTTACAGCATGACCAAAGTATGTCAGACGAAGCCCCAGAATCCTTGCTTACAAGCACAAGCCCGGTTTAACCCTCTTTAGGATGAATCTGTTTGTTTTCTTGGCAGTTCATGGTACATTCAATACTCTTCTCCAGCACCACAGCTCAAAGGCATCAATTATCCTTCTGTCCTCCATAGTCATTGTCCCACTCTCTGATGCATAACAAGTGATTACAAAGACCATGGCCTGTATCAGACGCACCTTAGTCTCCAGAGAGACACCATTGCTCTTAGTACTTTGGAGAGGTCCCTAACAGCAGACTTTCCCATCTCAGTACGTCTTTTAATTTCCTGGCTGCTGGTGCCAAGAGTGTTGACTGTGGAGCCAAGCAGACTAAAGTTGATAACAATCTCAGTCTCTTCACCATCCATCCTGATGCTGCCAATTGGTCCAGTGGTGAGAATCTTTGTCTTCTTGACACTGAGCCTCAATCCATATTGGAGGCTGCCATCCTTGACCCTCTGCAGCAAGTGCTTCAGGTCCTAATCAGTTTCAGCAAGCAGGTTTGTGTCATCTGCATAACACAGATTGTTGATAGATCTTCCAACCATCCTGAGAAGATAAGTATTATGAAATTAGTCTGACTATAATTTTTGAGGATGTAAATACAGAGATTTTTGTTTCCTGTGTTTGCTGTGGAGTCAGAACTGACTCATAGTTGACTGTCCAGCAGTTTTCAGGGGCTGTAGATCACATAGTCTTCAATATGGTTTGAAGCTTAACATCAAGAAGACAAAGATTCTCACCACTGAGCCACTTGGCAGAACCATGATGGATAGAGAAGAGACTGAGATTGTTAACAATTATAGCTTGTTCAGCTCCACAATCAACACTCTTGACACCAGCAGTCAGGAAATCAAAATGAATTGCATTGGGAGAATCTGCTGCCAAGGACCTCTCCATAGTGCTGAAGAGCAACATTGTCAGTCCAGAGACAAAAGTGCGCCTAATCTAGGCCATGGGCTTCACAACTACCTGTTATGCTTCAGAGTGTTGGACAGTGACTAAGGATGACAGACAAAGAATCAATACCTTTGAATTGTGGTGCTGGATAAGAGTCTTGAACATACCATGGACTGCCAAGAAAACAAATCAATCTGTCATGGAGAGAGTGAAACCAAGTTTTCTTTGGAGGCTAGAATTTTGAACTCTTTCTCACATACTTTGGCCACGTGGCCAGAAGAGACTGGTCCTGCTTGGAAGGGTAGAGGGACAGAGCAGGAGAGGAAGACCCAGGATGAGATGGATTGACAGTGACTGGGGCAGTGGGTCTTGGTGGGTCGGAGTTAGTGAGACTGGCTCAGGACAGGGCAGGGTTCAGAGCTGCTGTATATAAGGTTGTGGGTCACAGGTGACTTGGCACATAATGGCAGGGCAATGGGAGTAGGTATGTCCGAGTCAGTGAGACTGGCTCAGGACAAGGCAGGCTTCAGAGTTATAACAATAACAACATGAAGTACATCTTTGAAGATGTCTTCATTTAGATCTTGCTTCATTTAGCTTGTTTCTGTTTTTTTATTTCCTGTTTTGTTAGTGTCATAGTTGTAAATGGAGAATTTTTCATCTCCCTTTACATTTTCTGTCTATTTATAATCAAAACTTATTTTTTAGTTATTATACTCAGGAGTCATTTAAAATTCTTGTTTATATTAGTTCAGATGTTTTCTAGTATATAATCATTATCTACAAGTACTGATTTTATCTCCAATTATCGAAATGATATCTGCTTTTCTTGTATATTTGTATTTTTCTAGTAATTCTTGAAACATATTAGATAATAAGGATGATAAAAGACATTCTAGTGGATTATTTCTTCTGGAATTTTGTATTTCAGGAGAGCTTTTTTATTTTCCCAATAAACTTGAAGATGACTTTGATAGATTGCTTATTTTGTCAGACTGGACATACCCATCTTTTCTTCAAAAGAGTCTTCATTAATAGTGGATTTTAAATTTGTCAGATTCCTTTTCATCATCTATTATATGACTGTATGAGTTGGTTTCCCTCCCTTTTTAGATCTGTTAGAATGAATTAGATAAGATTTTCTCATCTTTTTTCTTTTAAATTATTAATTTCAATGAAAATTTACAGAGACTTTGGATTTCCATTTATTCATTGTTGCACTTTTCTCCCCTCCTAACCCTCCCCCCAGATTTTCTCATCTTAAACCACCTTTGCATTTCTAGAGTAAAGCCTGTTTGTTCAGATGTGTTCGTTTTTTAATATTCAGTGCTGTTTGGGTTCCCTCTCCCCCACAGGTTTATCATGTGCATTCTGATAGCTATGAGACACAAAACCAGCATTATGGAAGAAGCTTAACAAAAGAAACTATAAAAGATGGTAAGGATTAAGAAACATGTTTCATTGCTTTGATTTTTAAACATTATCTAAATTTAAAAGTATTTTAATTCTTTAATTCATTTATAGTTAAAAAGCTTTCTTTTTCTTTTAATGGACTTTAGGCTCACAAAATAATCATCATCCTTGGTTCATAGTATCTCAAAATATCTCATTCATGAATCCACAAATGGCCAACTTTTAATTTTTTGAGACCTCATTGCCATTGTGTTTAACCGGTTATAGCTGACCTTCTAGTAGGTTTTCAGAGACTATAAATCGAGGAGCAGCTGGTGGATTGAACAGGTCACCTTTGGGTTGGCAGTGCAGCCTCCTACTGACGAGGCCACCAGAGCTCATGAATTTTTTCCATTATTGTATTTTTAAATATATAACATTTGTGAACCATCCATCTAGCCCAAGTACTAGAGCTTGTCTTAAAAGAGTTTTTTCAAGTAAAGACTGGATCAGAGCATACTAAGTCTTATTGTTACGTAAGAAAATTGAAGAAATTTATAGTAGTATAAATATGTATTTTACTGAAATTTCCCATTTCTAGTTGAGCTGTATCTTTTAAATTTAGAGCATTCATTATGAAAAATCATGAGGCATTAATATAAAGTCTGTTAACATGTACATTTCTAATGTATATGTAGTCAAGATATAAAAATAAATATCTTTTAAAAAGAAATTTCCTAGAAATATATTTTATTAGAAATTTTTTTAAATTTTACTAGAAATTTAATCTTAAGTCTAGTCTACCTTAGATGGAAAAGAACTTATACAGAGTGATTGATTTTTGTTTTACTTACAGAAAACAAATACCCACAGTTGTGATCCTTGTTGACCCCTCCTTGTGACACATCCTACCAGGTGTTACAGAATAAAAATTCTCCCCAGGATTTTCTTGCCTGTAATCTTTACAGAAACAGTTCTCTAGGCTTTTCTTCTGCTGATGCCTTGGCTTTGTTTAAACTGCTAGCTTTTTATATAGTAGCCAATTTTAAACCACATACACCACTTCCTTCACAGTTAACAAGTTGCAAGATAATATTCAGTTTGGCTCTTTATTAAAATATTTCCCC